AGCGCCCTGCTAGTGGAGCTCACGGGCCCAGCCTGCAGCCTTCACCAGAGGCATGTGGGCCCTGAGGCACAACCTCCTGAGCACCACGGCAACAGACTCTCGTAGTCCTCCTTGAACGTAGCAGACAGCACTGGGGACTGGCTGCCGCCCAGGAAGCTGGTGTGACGCGCTCTGCGGTGGGTGACGAAGGCAGGCACCAGCAGCTGGGTCCTGGCAGAGCCACTGCAGGCCCTAGCAGCCACAGGACAGCTTCAGGGGCAAAGCAGGCTCAGCCCAGTGACCAGCCAATAGCCCTGAGCATGATCCCATCCTCCCTGCCCTCTGTCCCATTTGATAAATGCCGATGATACCTACTCAGCTGGAGGCAGACACTATACCCAGCTGCCGAGAACAGCCTGCCTTCTTTATATAAAAACAAAACCACCACTGCTTTCCAACCAGTTCTGGCTGTTGGAGTGGGAGGGGCAAAGCCCTGTGAGAAGAACTGCCCCCGCTCTCTGCTGCCACAGGTATTGCTGGAGGGGCTGAAAAAACAGCCCAGCTTCCTACAGAACCATCAGAGAAAGACAAGCTCCATACACTAGTGACGCTAATAAGGAGCCCTGCTGGCCCAGTGGTGAAGCACTCGGCTGCTATCCGAGAGGTTGGCGGTTCAAACCCATGCAATGGCTCCATGGGAGAACAGACCTGGTGATCTGCTCCCGTGAAGACTGCAGCCTAGAAACTTCCATGGGTCAGGTCTCCTCTGTCACAGGGGGCTGCTGAGGAGAAATCAACTCGATGGCACCCAACAGCAGCAGTGACAGCAAACACACATCAGGGAGACACGGGGCCAGCGCTGTTCTAAGCAGCCTCCTGTGCACCAGCTTTCTTAGTCCTCACAAGCCCATTCGCCATCCCTGTCCTCATGGTACACGTGTGGAATCCGAGTCATAGAAAGGTCAAGCAACTTGCCCAAGGTCACACAGCTACAGAATTCAACCCCGACCAAACCCAAAGGCCATGTTCTTTTTGTTGTTGTTGCTGTTAATTTTTATTGTGATTCGGGAG